GCTTGGGGGCTGTAATTTTAAGGATATGTTCTCTGTCCAAGTAGGTACTAAACAGCTCAAACCCAGCCCCCGAGTAAGCGTGATACCCGCGTATGGGCCCGTCAAAATTTTTTTCGGGTAAGTTCATAACTCGGGGATCTGAAAAGCTAGAAAGCTGAAATCTTAAGGGGATATCCCCAGCCCAAGTAGGTATTAATGAGCTCAAACCCAGTCTTTGGATAAGTGTGGTACCCGCGTACGGGCCCGCCAAAGTTTTTTTTTGAGTAAGCTGATAACTCGGGAATTTAAAAAGCTAAAGGACTGTAAATTCAAGAAGGTATTCCCCACCTAAGTCTCATTGATCTCAAACCTAAGTTTCATCGATCTCAAAGTACCTAAGTCTCATTGGTCTCAAACCCAGCCTTCGGGAAGCGTGGTATCCGCGTAGGGGCTCGCCAAAATTTTTTCCAGGTAAGTTCATAACTTCGGGATCTGAGAAGCTAGAATGCTGAGATCTTAGGGGGATTTCCCCTGTCCAAGTTGATAATAATGTGCTCAAATTCAGCCCTCGGGTATGCGTGATACCCATGCATGGGCCCGCCAAAGTTTTTTTTCGGATAAGTTGACAACTCGGGAATTTGAAAAGCTAAAGGACTGTAATTTTAAGAGGGTATTCCCCGTTCACCTATTTCTCACTGTGCTCAAACCCAGACTCCGGGTATGCGTAGTACCCACGTACGGGCTCACCAGAGTTTTTCCCGAGTAAGTTGCTAACTCGAGAACCTGAAGAGCTAGAAGACTGTAGTTTTAAAAGGGCACATGTAATCTGTGCACACTATAGAAATAGCAAAGTGACCTTTAAGCCGAGTGCCGTCGCAACTTGGTCCTTAAGCCCGCGCGTAAAAATTTGGTGGGCTATCTGCATTTCGTTATATTTATTAATCCCACTGTCTTTGCAACACGGCGCGAAAATGACTATTTGAATTGATATGGTGAAGTAGCCTAAGTTTTTATCATTGCGAATCCTAGGGTAGGGCAAGGGGCCTTTCGTCCTTCCGCCCCCCGGTATTCAGGTAGCTGCTGTTTTACTTAGAAAACTCTGTTCGATACTGCCTGCCCCTTCCCCGCCTCAGGAAACCACTCTGACCCACCTATGATTTTTATGCAGATATCGGCCATCTTCTTTGAAGTTATCAGCGATGTTGCAGAGTCTCCACTAACAGGCACTCATTTAACGTGCTGTATCTGGCTGGAGCTTGTGGTGCGGGGCCAAGGTCAAAACAGATGTGATACCTTCAGGTTACAAACGCACCACCCCCAAACACAACCAATTACTCACTGGGTGAGGTTAAGTCTATCATTTTTACGGTTCTTAATGAGGTTTATGTTCGCTTTGGAGGTGCCATCTTCCATCAAACTCGAGGGGC